CAGGGCCCCTAGGGCGGGCCCCTGGACCCCACCCATTAAGGGATTTGCGCCAAAGCGCTCGCGGTGTGCGCTACTCACGCACACTCTTCATATACATTATGATGGAACTATAACAGCGAAATCATCCCCCACACAACTGAGGACCTGTCTACGCCACTGGACCGTGCACCGCATATCTGTAACCGCGTACTGCTAAAAATGATCAATATTCTCGCATAATCATTTTTGTTAAGAAGTTTTCTGTAATGCGGGCGCAAAACTTGATTACAACAGAGTACAACATCAACGTATAACTATATATTATTATATCAGGACAGGAGTGAATAACTCTAGTGAGAGATTATATTCACTCCTAATTATATGTATAAACACACATATTATAACACGTGTGTCTGTATATATCTATCCCAGCATGCACACTGAGTTGTTTCGACCACATGCATGCAGGCACTTGAAACATTTCAATAAAAAATATGGTAAATAAACACGAAACGTATTTACTACCAAAGTCTTAATGTTTCTCTACTCTCTGTCGCCTGTTATCTGCCAATAACTTCCTGTAAATGCCGTTCATATATGCTCCGCTGCAACACACAAGTACACCGCACGCACCAGGGGCGTGTACAGGGGGGGGGGTCCAGGAGGTCCGGACCCCCCCTGCTCGCGCAGAAAACGCATCTGAGGGGTCTAATTTCACAATTTTTCTGGGGGAGGGCCTCCCCGACCCCCCCTTCGCGTGCTCGCAAGTATGGGTTACGGTTAGACCCCCCCCCCTGGTTCAAATCCTGTACACGCCCCTGCGCACGCCGCATGGAGCGAATGATATCTATATCGCTCTCTCTCTCTCTCTCTCTCTCTATATATATATATATATATAATCAAGAGCGTATAAAGAAGCTAGGCCTATACGCTCTTGATATAATCAGGACGCACGCTCGCTCGCTCACACACAGACGTGATGTGATCATAACGTACAAGAGCGCAAAAACGATATATATTTTGAATTGTAAATGCAGCGCATATTGCGCTTTTACCTGCAAAACATTCACCAACATGTAAGCGTATTTTCCATGGAATTTAGATGCGCACCGCTCAGGTGTACAGCTTCCTACAACTGACCGTTCAACACAACAACGTGGAGTCAGTCTATGCACTTAGCAGGGCGTTGAAATTCGCAGTGAATAGATTCAAACAAATTTCACTAGAGGCAATATTATGAGAGAAGAACTTATATGGCAGGAGCAGGATGATGTTTTGTATATTCTAATAATACTTTACTTTTGTATTTCTTCAGTTTTACTCACTGGATTTAAATTTGAATTACCAAGGTCACACATATACACTGAAGCATTTACATATATATACGAACACATAGCAATTGCCTTTATTGAGATACACAGAATTACACGTGGTCACATAAGCGGGCATGAAAAAAGCTACCACATGATAATCTAAGATGATATAAAGTGTACACAGACTGTACGTATAGTTTATTTTCTCGTGCATAACACAGCTTACGCTCTGACATACGGAGTAAATAATAAGCGCACAGTAAAATAATTATCCATTCCCGCCAACTTCACAAAGGGTACACCATATCTAAGATACCTAGTGCAGTGACGCGACTCTGGTGCTACCCAGCTGGCCGGCGTGTAAAGATCGCTCGCGATGCTTCACAGTAACCGCGATGTTTAGATGTTTGCGGGAGAATTGCGGTCAGGCCCGACGGGAATTCCTAAACAAACCGATACTTTTCACAATAGTCGTTACGATTGCTGATGTCCAGCCCCCACATGCCGCCAAAACCACGAGAGGCAAAAACGCTTTGTAGCCGAGTCAGCAATATATCGGCTGCCATGTATGATGTGTCGTGCCCATCCAGGCCTCTTGGTCTTTGGCTCCCTGGTAGATACACTAGACTTACACGTTAGACCGAACAATAATGAACAGCTAGAGGATATCTTCGAGCGCTGAGGTGCAGAAATGCAATGGTTGCCTTTTTTTTTTACTGCATTTTCATTGCATCTCCACATCGCGCAGAAATCTTGCCTACATGTGCGATAATTACACAAGCACGTCCGTGTCGTGGCGCCACCTGCAGGTTGTTTTTGTTGTTATTGTTCTTGTCGGTTTTTACCACACGCTCGGTTTCACCGGGACGGTTCGTATCCCTGGGGATCCATACCCTGTTCCATCAGCGCCACCGAGCTATCCCGCATCTTCTCCAGGAACCTCCGAAGTTCCTCCTTCTGGAATACCTGCGAGAATAAAGGAAGACCGTCAGTTTCTAGCTTCTGTTTCAATACCAGACTACATGGTAGCAGCAGGCGTACTCGTACTGCAGCAATTTCTCGCCGCGGTCAGGCTATTCATCATATCAGGAGTAAATCACAGTCGACTATTTTACACTGATTTACTCAATTAAACTCTGTGATGTACGCATTACTTGCTCCCGGTAATATATTACGAAATTCCTGGTTATAATATACGAGATGAACGCCAACTCTAAAGAAGATTCGTACGGCCAAACGATCTGACAACAGCAAGAAATGATGAATACGTTCATTCAGCCTTGATGCCAAAAAAAATCGTCGTCATAAAAAGGTGTTTGGCGAGTATATCGCATTTTGCACGATTTACTTGTACGAATTATGTGCTAAGGTTGGTAAGCAAAAAATACAACAAACAGGGCAGGAGGTGGTTTGTCAGTGCACTCACACAGTTGCCATGAGAACAGCTGTGAGCAAAGAAACAGAGATTTCAATCTAGGCAATCATCGCTAGGAATGCTACACCAGCCATTAATCAATTGCAAATATCTAAATTCTATCTTGAGTGTATCTCAAGGTCACCTTGACAGTATAGTATAGTGCATGGCAGTATTGGAAGAACCGCTGGATTGCACACGTGGGCAGCAACGGGATGAAAAAAACGTTCTTCGATCGTGCTATGGTCGCTTTACGCCGTCCCTCAGAGAACAAGAAACGCATGCCCGCGCGCGAGAGACGTAAATCACAGGGCGCACCCAGCATTGCTGGTCTGCTAGGTCATGCACGTGCATCCGCCGCATGCCACACCGTGTTTCGGGTGCACTTACGTGCAATTTCTTCGCTGGTTTTCGCTTATTAGTTTTACATGCCGATTCGACCACTATGAGACTTTCACTAACAGAACTGCTGAGCTGCGTTACTGTGGAAGAGTGATTACTGCCAGATTACCCACGATCGAGTTCACTCGCTACGCCGCATAAGTGCAAGTTTTTCAGATTTTCCGGAACGTAAACTTCGACGTGTTTACATGTTCGAAACCGTGTGGAAATGAAGGGCTACTGCGTACCGTTGTGGTTTCCTGCATTCTTACTTCAGGCTTATTGAGACCCCTGGGCGAAAGGTGCACAGAATGCTCATTCTGGTGGCACCGTCTTACACCCGCGTGCACACGCACGTAAGCAAGCCCCTACTCACGCTCACAAGCATGCACAACCTATCCGTCAATAAAGTGATATAGCGACTCTCTCTTGAAAATTGTTGCTAAGGCAGTCAAGCCACAGAGTTTACACCCGTTTTTCCAAATTGTTGACTTTGAGGCACTTTGACGCAAAGCATCATAATTTAGAATTGATGATTGGTCGACTGACTAACTAATGCTGCCTGTCAATTATGGCAGGTGGATAGGTAAACTTAGCGAAGCACCTCGAACGTGTGCCGTGAAGGCCTAGACAGTCTCTAAGGACAAAGATTGACTATACTACTACCCCGCAAAGGTTCATTTAGCTTACGAAATGACACCATCCAGCTATAAAGTTAGCGATGAATTACTAGTTCCAACTAGTAAGTCAATGGTAGTAACCTTAAAAATAAAGTCGGACTAGAAAAAGGAAAAAGAACAAAACGGAAACGTGTGAAAAACCAACCCAGTCCCAGTTTCGATAATTTCTGATTTCTACTAACCCAACCCAAACGAAACCAAAGAAATGATCCAACCCTCCTCGAAAGTTCGTGTACCATTATCCAAAACAAAATTACACTTACAGTTTCTTATACGCAGTGTATAGAGGTCCGGTCTACGAGTAAAAGTTAATATTAGGGACTAATTTTAAGACTAATGTCGTTTCGGTCAGTCGTTCGGACGGACGGCCGGTTGGGCGGGCGGTAGGTCGGACGGACGGCCGGTCGGTCGGTCGGACGGTCGATCGGTCATGGTCGGACGGACGGTCGGTCATGGTCGGACGGGCGGTCGGTCATGGTAGGACGAACGGTCGGTCATGGTCGGACGGCGGTCGGTCATGGTCGGACGGGCGGTCGGTCATGGTCGGTCGGTCGGTCGGTCGGACGGACGGTCGATCGGTCATGGTCGGACGGACGGTCGGTCATGGTCGAACGGGCGGTCGGTCATGGTAGGACGGACGGTCGGTCATGGTCGGACGGACGGTCGGTCATGGTCGGACGGGCGGATGGTCAGTCGGTCGGACGGTCGGTCAGTCGGGCGGTCGGTCGGTCGGACGGTCGGTCACAGCCGGGCGGACGGTCGGTCGGTCACAGTCGGGCGGACGGTCGGTCACAGTCGGTCGGTCGGTCGGTCACAGTCGGTCGGTCGGTCGGTCGGGCGGTCGGTCGGTCACAGTCGGGCGGTCGGTCAGTCGGGCGGTCACAGTCGGGCGGTCGGTCGGTCGGTCGGTCGGTCAGTCGGGCGGTCACAGTCGGGCGGTCGGTCGGTCGGTCGGTTACAGTCGGTCGGGCGGACGGACGGTCGGCGCACCTTGTACAGCTGGTGATTGTCGGAGGCGACGACGTCGGCTAGCTGTAGACACTCGCGGTGCTGCCCCGTGCCGCTCAGCACAGCGTGCAGCAGATACGTCACCGCGGGAATGCACAGCCCACGCAGCAGCTCCATCTGGTGCACGCGCGTCTCCTCTACCTCAGCATCCTGTGCGCGCGCCGAGAGAAATGAGCGAGGACACGTTAGAAAATGATGGCGATGAGCGAAACTTAAAAATAGTGTCTTGTCACAAACACACTAACACCCAAGAGATCAGAATTGTTATATTAAAACATATGACTATAT